ATGCAAAGCTATACAAGGACCCACAGAATAAAATATATTACCACATTGATGTGTTTTCTTTTTTTATTTTCTTTAAAGAAAAAAGCCAGTTCTTTCTCCATCCTCTGTATGAAGTTATTTTCTTTTAATATAGCATTGAAAAGGTTGAAGGTCACCTCTTCCGCTCTAGCAACATCAAGTCAAAACTAGTCCAAGGAGAACTATCCCACATCAGGCCTCCAAAAAGGATGCTATGATCAATGGCACCAAAAAGCCACTGAGAGATCAAGAAGAGCCACCACCTCCATCCTGGCTTCCCCAGAAGTCATCAACATGTGCGTTCAACCCTGTGCCCTAGGTTGAAACCTAGGATAGGATATGGATTCTCTGCCTTATCCAAAGTTCTTTCCAGCTACAACCTGACCACCTTCTCCACAATTTCCTTGGAAAGGGAAGGTGGAAGAAGTTGTCCAGGACTTTTGGGGTCCCCTTCTTGAAGAGAGGAGATACAATTGTCTCACTTGAGGAAACATTGGTGACCATGTGGGCCCCAAACTTACATCACTTCCTAATCAGCAGGGGTACAGATCTAACAGAGGGGTAGCTGGATAAACAGTCCCAAGGATCTGGATAGCTTCCTCAAGAGTTACTGGGTCAATATCTCCCAACAAATGGAATCAGGTGAAGTCTTGTCCCAAAGATGCTTTTTTCAAGAGGCAATTGGACTTTCTGGTCCAGTTACCAGAAACTCCAGTTGTCTCTTGAAAAAGTATCTGTGGGACAACCACAACCTGGATGACTGAGAATCTCCGTAGACAGATGAAGCCTCAATCAACTCCCTTAGGACTTGGCCAGTCAAGAGTTCAACTCAGAATAATCTACTCACTGTATTTCCTAAGTGCTTAGGATATTATTATTTTTTACAAAGAACATCGAGATGTTCTTGTAGCTCATTCCTATCTTTAGAACAACGTGGTTGGACCGTCACAAAATGGAGGAGAAAGTCAAGCATTCAGCCCCACACCCATTCCAGACAACAATGAAGGCATCAGCTGAACCTCACGCCAGATTGGCATTCTTCCACCTTGACAACTTGAAGATGGGTAGACTTCAACTCCCAGAATTCCCTATGCTGGCTGTGGGTGGATTCTGAGAGTTGAAGTCCATGCATCTTCCAGTAGCCAAATTTGAGGAATGCTGCACCAGATCCTGAAGAAAGAACCCCTGGTCTACAACATGGGCTGAGCCAACATGGCGGATGAGAATTTATCCAACCACCAACTCAGGGTTTTCACTCCCGCTTTTGAACGACAATGCCTTTCTAAAAAGAAGAAAACTTCGAGGTGCGAGAGAACCTCCTTCATGACAAGTTTGTCCAGCCCATTACATCAAACCCTAAACCTGGTTTTGCAAAGCCTTCGACCCTTATAGACACCCTACATTTGTATATCCATCTACAAACCAGATAGTGCAGCTTGACGTGATGATTGACACTATCTAGTACCCTGTTTCTCCAACAATACGGCCTCCCCCAATAGGAAGCCCCAGCATGTTTTATAGGCATGAAATGAAATTAAGCCCCTCCCCCCAAATTAAGGCCTATATTAAAACATGCAAAATGGGGGGGGGGGATGGTGGAGGGGCTTGCCATTAGGAAGTACTTTTGTTGCACACCCGGATATGGTGCTGCCTGCACTGACCCCGATACGAAGTACCTCACCAACGCCGAGGTCAACATCCAAGCTGTCGCTGCGCGCCCACCCAAAGATGCAAGCGGGGGGAATTAAGTCACCCCCGAAAAGACAGCCTAGCCATTTTGGGGGGGGCTCAAAAAAAAATAAAAAAAATAAGACCTGGCCTTATTATATGAGAAACACGGTAAGAATACAGAAAGCTTAAAAAAAAAACAACCCACAAAGCTAAGCGGGATGTTATCTGGTGAGTCTTATTTATATTATTTGGAGGGGAATGGGGAATCTTTAGAAAAGTCTGCTACATTATCTGAAATGATCCAGGCCAGGTCACCTGCTTGTGCAGGGGGTACGACTAGAAGACCTTCTAAGTCCCTTCCAAGACTTTTATTCTATGCTCTGTTCTTCAAAGGACCGGAAGACAGAACAAGAAGCAACGGATGGAAACTAATCAGGGAGAGAAACAACCTAGAACTAAAAGGAGGAATTAATTTCCTGACAGTTAGAACTATTAATCCGAGGGATGACTTACCTCCAGAAGTTGTGAGTACTTCAACACTGGAAGTTTTTAAGAAGCGATTGGACAACGATCTCTCACTAAACTCTGAGAAGGATCTTGGAGTCTTAGTGGACGATCACTTAAATATGAGCCACCCGTGTGTTACAGCTACCAAAAAAAGCCAACACAGTTCGAGGCTACATAAACAGGGATAGAATCAAGAACACATGAAGCGTTTAATACCCCTTTATAAAGCCACACTTAGAATCCTGCATCCAGTTTTGGTCCCCACGATGTAAAAGAGATGTTGAGACTAGAAAGAGCGCAGAGAAGAGCAACCAAGGGAGATTAGGAGACTGGAAGCTAAGGCATACAAAGAATGGTTGCTGGAATTGCGTATATCTACTTTAGTGAAATGAAGGAGTAGGGGAGACACGATAGCCATGTTCCGATATCTCAGGGGCTGCCCCCAAAGAAGAGGAAGTCAAGCTAGTCTCCAAAGCATCTGAGGGCAGGACAGGAAGCAATGGATGGAAACTAACCCAGGAGAGAAGCAACCTAAGGATGAACTTTCTGACAGTGAGAACAATTCATTAGTGGAACAACTTGCCTCCAGAAATTGTAAATGCTCCAACACTGGAAGTTTTTCAGAAGAGACTGGATAACAATTAGTCTGAAGTAGTGTAGGGTTTCCTGCTTGGACTAGAAGACCTCTTAAGGTCCCTTCCAACTCTGTTATTCTGTTATTCCTAAAGAGCAAAATACGTTTGATGGTTTAAGATAGAAAAATCTACTGGCTAAACTGGTCAGCTGAAGGCAAGGGCCAGCCACCACTTCTGCAAAGCTGCCCCAAATGCTGCATTGGTGTCTTCAGGACTGTCTGGGAGTCAAGATCACGCCGAAGGAGAATTTGCTTCACTTCAGCAGGTTTTACAAACGCAGCGACCGCATGATGGAAAATTACCACCCTTCCTGCCTTCAACCTTGCAAAGGCCGGGTGGTTCGGCTGTTTTGGAGTCGTCTTCTGGAGTAACCCAATTCGGATGCCAATGTCCCTTTCCTTACCTACCCTGACCTGCCTTGCAAGCTTGAGACAGCGCAGAGAGTCTCACCGACATTAAAATAATAATAATAATAACACATTAAAAGCATTTGGAACTGCATGGACCAGAAGAGAAGAGATGGGGGCCAGAACTGTCCGTTCCAAGAAACGCAGAGAGCAAATACGCTTAGAAAGAGGCGACAAGGTGCAAAACGGACGGGTGAGGTTGAGAATACGCCAAGTAAAGCTGAAATAAAATCGACCCAAAGGTGCTCTCTTTTTTTCTTTTTTACCTTTCAAAAGGCCACCGGACTTTCTTTGTTTTTCCTCGAAGGTGTTTCGCTTCTCATCCGAGAAGCTTCTTTCGGTTCTAACGGAAGGGCGGAGAAGGGAAGGGTGTATATTCCTGGCAGTCTATTCCATTCTCCACCATTCAGTCAGAACGGAAGAAGCTTCTCGGATGAGGAGTGCAACGTCTTCATGAAAAGACCAAGAAAGTCCAGTTGCTTTTTGGGGAAAAAAGAAAAAAAAAAAGAAATCACCTTTGGGATAACCATGATCCGGATGACGGACAAACTGCATAGGCACTGAACAAAAAAATTAAAAGTATCGGAAGGGTTTGAAATGGGTGAAACTAGAGAGGAATTGATGTTGCCTGTAATCCTGATGAGGTGACCTTGACTAACCCTCTCCTAACAGCAATTAACCAGTGGAACTACCTGCCACCAAAAGTTGTGGGGTCTCCATCACTGGAGGTTTTTTAAGAGACCGGACAACCATTTGTCTGAAATGGTATATAGGATCTCCTGCTGGAGCAGCGGGCTGGACTAGAAGACCTCCAAGGTCCCTTCCAACTCTGTTATTCTGTTATGCTTCATTTCTGAGCCAAGCCTACCTGACAGGGTTGTTGTGATAATGATGATAATAATGGAGGGTCAGGGGAGGAAGGGAACCAGGCAAACATCCTTAACAGCACAAAGAAACCCGGAAAAACATCCTTAAACAGGGATATCATGCTACGTAGAAAACATGAGAGCTCTCTTGAATTGAAATCTCTGGATGAAGATAAGGAATTTCCTTCCTCTTCCTTCTTTCCTTCTTTCTTTCTTTCTTTCTTTCCTTTCTTCTTCCTTTCCTTCCTTCTTTCCTTCCTTCTTCTTCTTCCTCCTCTTCTTCCTCCTCATCCTCATCTGACGATGATGGTGGAATGCACCACGTAAGGACAGCCTCTCCATTTTCTGCTAAATAAAACCCCCCATCAGTAGCTTTCAGGTCATTCTTCACCGCATGGCTGGAACACCCTTCTGGAGTACAAGGAGAGTCAATGGATGATGGGTACGGGCTCGCCGCCCTCTGCGTATGCACAGAGCGCAACTGCCCTCTCCTGCTACACAGTCTGCCTCGCTTCCTTGCAATATTAAACAAAACGCCTCACTCAGCTCCTTGGAAACCAGCACACCTACGTACACACACACACACACACACACACACACACACGGTGGCGGGTGGGGGGAGCGGTCTGGAGAAGTGGAGCAGGAGTCTTGGTGCAATGGCAGCGGGGAGGGGCGGGTGAGGAGGGGGAGGCTATGGGCAGAGGAGCACGGAGGGGAAGGAAAGGAGCTGCAGGGTCGCAGAACATACCACGAAGGGGGAGGCAGCGCAGAAGCAGATCTGCTTCATGGTTCCCCCGAGGAAGTAGCGGGTCGCCATCCATCCAACCTGTCTGCCACCCCAGGCCTGGTGCAGAAAGAGGGGTAAACCAAAGGGAAGATGCTCGAAGCGGCCGCTGGCCGTTGTAGATGCAAGCAAAATGGTCCAGGGAACTCAGCCACACCGCACAAAGGCCCTGAGGGGGCGCAGCAAGTGCAGGACTGGCTCCCTCTAGTGGCTGAAAAGCAGACACACCCCAGAGCTTCGCTCTGCTCAAACCCATCCACATCCATGCTTTCTAATCAATGGAGCGAGAAGGAACATTGAAAGTCTTTTTTTCTTATTTATTTATTTGATTTGTCAATCGCTTACAAGAGAATAGGTATAAGTATAAGCATTAAGAGTTGTTAACCTCATCTTACGTAGCTTTTTCTCTGGTAATATTACACTAATAACTAGAGCATACAAAAGGTTTGCTAGACCAATACTCAAATACAGCTCATCAGTCTGGAACCCACATTAGGTATCTCATATTAATACAGTGGAAAAAGTCCAGAAATATTTCACAAGAAGAGTTCTCCATTCCTCTACTCGTTGTAGAATACCTTCTACCACCAGACTTGAAATTCTAGACCTAGAAAACTTTGAATTAACACCGCCTTCGGTCTGATCTAAGTATAGTATATAAAATCATACATTGCAATGTCCTACCTGTCAGTTAATACTTCAGCTTCAACCATGCCAACACAAGAGCACACAATAGATACAAACTCAAGGTTAACCGCACCAAACTTGATTGCGGGAAATACGACTTCAGCAACAGAGTGGTCGATGTCTGGAATACTCAACCTGACTCTGTGGTTTCTTCCCCAAACCCCAAAAACTTTAACCTTAGACTGTCTACTATTGACCTCACCGCTTTCCTCAGAGGTCTGTAAGGGGCCTGCATAAGCGCACCAACGTGCCTACCGTCCTTGTCCTATTGTTTCTTTTATTTTTCTTATAGGTATCCATGTATCCATAACTATGTTTTTACTTATTATCTATAATCTTGTAAGCAATCGACAAACCAAATAAAATAAATTTTAAAAAAAGTTACAACAGCGCTGCAAAAAAGTGACTTGTGACCGTTTTTCACACTTACTCCCCCCTGACCAATAAGGGTGAAATGAGGGCAGCCTTCCTATATTTGAGGGGCTGCCCCAAAGAAGAAGAAGTCAAGCTATTCTCCAAAGCACCTGAAGGCAGGAAAAAGAAGCACTGGGTGGAAACTAATCAAGGAGAGAAGCAACCTAGAACTAAGGAGAGACTTCCTAACAGTGAGGACGATTAACCAGTGGAACAGCATGCCACTAGAAGTTGGGGCTGCTCCGTCACTGGAGTTTTTCAGTGAGAAGAGACTGGACAGCTATTGGTCTAGACTGCTATATTGTCTTCTGCTTGAGCAGGGGGTTGGACTGGAAGATCTCCAAGGTCCCTATTATTCTGTGCTTTTTATGTTCTACAACCTATTGCTCTGGTAAAGATTTTGATGCTGGAAAAAAATGGAAGGAACAGGAAGAAGGAGACCGCCTGTGAAAAAGGCAGATGGACTCGGTTACAGGAGTAATGGAAGAAATGCTGAAGGGTTAGGATGAGGACAGCGCTTTCTCTCGTACTACTAAGTGTCCAGATTGACTTGATGGGACCTCATCAAATCAATCAGCCTTGGCAGCTCCTGCTATTTTTAATCTTAATTCCTCAACAGCAGGGATTTCCCTGTTGCACTAAAGATGAGTAAACTGTCCTTAGCTATTAGAAAGAACTGGAAATTCAATGGAGAGAAAAGGAAAGTCTTACACTTAGGCAAAAACAACCCAAAGTTCACATATCGACTGGGTGAAACCAGACTTAATAGCAATAGTAACTGGGAGAGGGATCTTGGAGTCTTAGTGGACAACCAGCTAAAGAGGAGCCAGCCGTGTGCAGCCGCCGCCAAAAAAGCTAATGCAATCCCAAATTGCATTATCAGAGGGATACAATCGAGAGCGAGGGAGGTACTAATATCACTCTATAAAGCCTTAGTAGGACCACACCTAGAGTCCTGCATCCAGTTTTGGTCACCACACTATAAAAAAGATGTTGAGACTCTAGAAAAAGTACAGAGAAGAGCAATCAGGATGATTAGGGGATTGGAGCAGAGGTAGCATTCAGCAGGTTCTGACCAGTTCTGGAGAACCAGTGGTGGAAATTTTGAGTAGTTCGGAGAACCAGCAAATATCGCCTCTGACTGGCCCCGCCCCCATCTATTCTTTGCCTCCCAAGTCTCAGCTGATTGGCTGGGTCTTCTCAGGTTGCCCTACACAGGAGAACGGAGCTGGATAGCAGGTTAGTGGCAGGGGTGGGATTCTACCAGTTTGCACCTATTTGCTAGAACCGGTTGTTAACATTCTAAGCAGTTCGGAGAACCGGTTGTTAGAAGAAATTTTTACTGGCCTAATCCTGTAAGGAAGGCAGGAAGGAAACATTCTGGTGTTGCTTACAGAAACTGCCTCTCCGTTAACCCTTATTCCATTCTTGGCAGGACTAGACTTCCTGTCTCAGGAACGTCTCTGGAGTTATTTTCCCCTCCTTTGCCGGTACTTTGCTTGTGTGGAGTGACCATTCAAAGTTACAATGGCACTGAAAAAAGTGACTTATGACCCTTTTTCACACTTACGACTGTTGCGGCATCCCCACAGTCACGAGAGGCCAGGCGAGGAGATGCATGCCTCAATTGTGAACGATGTTGAGTTGGCCACATCCAGCCAATAACATGACCGCCAAGCCACATCCACCCAGTCACATGACCACCAAGCCACCAACTAAGCCACGTGCCCAGAACCGGTTGTTAAAAAATTTGAATCCTAATCCCTGGTTAGTGGGTTGGGGAAGAAATAGGATTTTGCAGTATCCTTCCCCTGGAGTGGGGCTGGGAATGGAGATTTGACAGTGTCCTTTCCCTGTCACGTTCACCAAGCCATGCCACACCCACCGATCCACGCCCACGGAACCAGTAGTAAAAAAAACGGAATCCACTGGACTGGAGTTTAAACATACGATGAACAGCTTCAGGAATTGGGCTTGGTTAGACTGCTGAAAAGAAGGACCAGGGGAGACGGGATAGCGGTCTTCCAATATTTGAGGGGCTGCCCCAGAGAGGAAGGGGTCAAGCTATTTTCTAAAGTACCCGAAGGTCAGAGAAGGAATAATAGATGGAAACTGACCAAGGAGAGAGATTCAACTTGGAAATAAGGAGAAACTTTCTGACAGTGAGAACAATCCACTCATGAAACAGAAGTTGCCTTCGGAAGTTGCGGGAGCTTCATCACTGGAGGCTTTCAAGAAGAGGCTGGATTTGCCCTCTGTCAGAAATGGTGTAGGGTTAGTGGGTTGGACTAGATGACCTACAAGGTCCCTTCCAACTCTGTTAATCTATTATCTGGAGTCCCTGCTCCCATTTGCAACCTGTTTTGCAGGAAGGAAGGCCTCAAAAAAAGGGCTCCGGGTTTTAATGCCGACCTTAGGAATCCGAAAATAGGAGAGAACGCCAATGGTGGCTTGTTACTCACGTCACCTTTCCTGAACTTGGCTTTCAGGCTCTTCATGTTGGTCTCTGCAAGACACAGATCAAGAGGGTTAAGGTTTGGGGTGCCTCCTGATGACGAGAGCAGGGAGTCTTCGCCTTATGACCGCGACAGAGTCCAAAATTTCCGTGGCTAAACATGACAGGGCTTAAGCGAATCCCGCCCCGTTTGGCCACCTTTCTTGCCGGTGTTGTTAAGCAAATCCCTGCCGTTGTTAAGTGAGTTCCGTGGTTGTTAAGCGAATCCGGCTTCCCCATGGACTGGGCTTGTCAGGAGGTCACAAAAGGGGAATCGGGTGACTCTGGGACCTTGCGACCGTCACAAGTATGAGTCAAGTGGCCAAGCGTGTGATAGTTTTTGATCACGTGACTGTGGGGATGGTACAAGGGTCGTTAAGTGTGAAATATGGTCATATGGGAATTTTATCTATGCCATTGTAACTTTGAACGGTCACTAAGTGAACAGTTGTAAGTTGAGGACTACTTGCATTGCTTCAACTTACAACCATTCATTCAATGACCGTTCAAAGTTACAACGGCCCTGGAAAAAACAGACTTACGACCGTTTTTCACACTTATGACCCTTGCAGCATCCCCACGGTCCCATGATCCAAATTCAGACGCTTGGCAACTGACTCGCACTTATGATGGTTGCAGGTCCCGTGATCCCTTTTGCGACCTTCTGACAAGCCAAGTCCATGGGAAGCCAGATTCACTTAACGACCGTGTTCCTAACTTAACAACTAGAGCGATTCACTTAAGCACGGCGGCAAAGCAGGGGGTAAAATGGATGCAAAATTCCCTTAACAATGGTCTTGCTTAGCAACGGAAGAAGCAGCCGGTTGCTAAGCACACAAAATATCAAAACTTCAAAAAACGGGTCATCAGGTAGCTTTTTCAGGCGTCTGTCACAACTTGGAATGGCTGCTATGTGACCGGCCATAAGTCAAGGACTACCCCAAAATTGTGCCACCCAAAACATGGCACTAATTCTATCACATGACGCTTTCCCTTTTCCCTAAGCAACCGAGAGAATATCTCGGTTGCTTAGGGATGTAGGGGATCCTTGGAGGGCCTCCCCCTCTGCTCCATCACCTGGGATCTGCAACCAGGAAATTGGACCTCGTGTTTTGGTCTCAGAAGATCCTCAGTCTCCATCATCCCCTCGGGGTTTAATTAGGGATCGGGTTTTCCGTCCCGTCAGAAGAGGGTGACAGTGGCTACCATCCCTTGATCGCCTCTACGGAATCCGGATTTTTATCCCAACCATCTAAACTTTTAATTCAAATTTTTCTCCTTGTCAAACCCCGTGTGTGTGTGTGTGTGTGTGTGTGTGTGTGTGTGTGTGAAATCTACCCAGCAGTGATAGCTTCAGAAAAAAGATAGTTGAAGAGTAACAAAAAGTCAATTTAGTCCTTGACTTATAACAGTTCATTTAGTGGCCATTCAAAGTAAC